TAAGATGAGTAGGGGCAGAGCGACCGGGCCAGACGAGATTCCGGTAGAATTTTGGAAGTGTGTGGGGAGAGCAGGTTTGGAATGGTTGACTAGGTTGTTTAATATAATTTTTAAAGGAAAGAGGATGCCGGATGAGTGGAGGTGGAGTACGGTGGTTCCATTGTATAAGAACAAAGGTGATATCCAGAGTTGTAACAATTATAGGGGTATCAAATTACTGAGTCATACCATGAAAGTGTGGGAGAGGGTGGTTGAAGCGAGGGTGAGGATGACAGTTTCTGTATCCGACAACTAGTTCGGGTTCATGTCGGGTCGTTCGACTACAGAAGTTATACACCTTGTTAGAAGGTTGGTGGAACTATACAGAGAGAGGAAGAAGGATCTGCACATGGTGTTTATTGACCTAGAGAAAGCGTATGACAAGGTTCCTAGAGAAATTCTCTGGAGATGCCTGGAGGCAAAAGGTGTGTTGGTTCCCTACATTATGGCGATTAAGGACATGTATGATGGGGCTAAGATTCGGATTAGGACAGTAGGAGGCGACTTTGAGCATTTTCTGGTTGTAATGGAGTTATACCAAGGTTCTGCGCTCAGTTCGTTCTTATTCGCCCTGGTGATGGACGCGTTAACACACCATATTCAAGGGGATGTGCCATGGTGCATGCTATTCGCCGATGACATAGTTCTGATTGATGAGTCGCGAGCCGGTGTTAACGAGAGGCTGGAGGTTTGGAGACATGCTCTTGAGTCTAAGGGTTTCAAGCTGAGCAGGACGAAGACGGAATACCTGGAGTGTAAGTTCAGCGCTGAGCCAGGGGAAGAGGGCGTGGATGTGAGGCTTGATTCGCAGGTCATCCCGAGTAGAGGCAGCTTCAAGTACCTTAGTTCGGTTATCCAGGGGGGAGGGGAGATCGACGAGGATGTCACACACCGTATTGGGGTAGGATGGATGAAGTGGAGGTTAGCATCTGGAGTCCTGTGTGACAAGAGAGTGTCACCGATACTCAAAGGTAAGTTTTATAAAGCGGTGGTTAGACCGGCCATGATGTATGGGGCTGAGTGTTGGCCCGTTAAGAACTCACATATCCAGAAGATGAAAGTAGCAGAAATGAGGATGTTGCGGTGGATGTGCGGGCACACTAGGATAGATAAGATTAGGAATGATGATATCCGGGAGAAGGTGCATGTGGCTCCCATTGATGACAAGATGCGGGAAGCGAGGCTTAGATGGTTCGGACATGTTAAGAGGAGAAGCCCAGATGCTCCGGTACGGAGGTGTGAGCAGCTGGTTGTGGATGGCACGAGAAGAGGTAGAGGGCGACCTAAGAAGTATTGAGGAAATGTGATCAGGCAAGATATTGCGAGGCTCCAGATTTTCGAGGACATGACACTTGATAGGAAGATGTGGAGGTCGAGTATTAGGGTTGTAGGTTAGGAGTTAGTTGAGTCGTGCCTTACTTCGTACCATTGTGGGACTAGCCATGTAAGATTTTTGTCTAAGATAGCTATTGGCAATGTTGTGGCTTACTATTTCGATGTTCAATGCATGTCCTATTTACTAGCTATCGCTTTTGCTTTGCATCTTTCTTCTAGATTTCATGGTGTTCCTATTTTTCTTATGACTGTTGTGATGATACTAATATTTACTAATATTGTCTCCCTTTGCTTTGCATCTTTCTTCTGGATTTCATGGTGTTCCTATTTATCCTATGATTGTTGTTGTGATACTAATATTGTTTCCTTTTTGTTATTTTGTCTTTTTATTTTTTTTGAGTCGAGGGTCTTTCAGAAACAGCCTCTCTACTTCTTCGGGGTAGGGATAAGGTCTGCGTACACACTACCCTCCCCAGACCCCATTAGTGGAATTTTACTGGGTTGTTGTTGTTGTTGTTGTTATTGTATTTTACTAAAATATTCTTCAAAAATTAAATGACTAAATTATCAAATTTATTTAACCAACAGTCTCTTCCTAGCCATAAAAATCTGGAGAATATGAGAGTTATTTGTATTGAACTACCGCATTCAACCTATTAAAAGCTAATACTAACATAAATATAATGGGGAACAAAGGTGTAGAATTTAGGAAAGAAAGGAAGTAAAAGACATGAATTCTGTGGATTAGCTTGTGGAGGATACAATTTTGCTCTCATCTTTTTTTTGATGGTTGAAGTCCTATGATGTAATTTTGTTGTGTAAGCATTCTATCCTTTTTTTTTTTTTTTTTTTTTTTAGGAGACTTTTCAAATGTATTTTTAGTTTGACAAATACTTTATTTTCTATTAGGTATGCATTAAGCTCTTAAAAAAACAATTTTGATGGATCAGTATATACTTCCTCCATCTTAAATTATATGGATAATACAATTCTTCAGGCCAGTGAGGAAAGATGCAGAGGGGGAGCGAGGGAGATAAACGTTTGTATATTTACTCTTTGGCTTTCTTTTTCTGTTTTGTTGAACTTTGATTAATTAACTTTTGTCTGATTATGATTAATATCATATACTAATGATCTTTTTGGTAACTATTACTCATTTGCTTCTAAATGGCAATGAAGACTTTTATATTTGGGGAGAAGTCATTCAATTTCTTTGAAGGACAAATGTGTTACTTTATTGTTGACAACTAATTTTTTTCTTTTTTATTTTTTGCAATTCGTACAATGGACATCACAAGGTAAAATTTTAAAAAGATTTAGACCTTATTCAACTACGCTCGAATGTGGAGAAAAAATTTGAATAAGATGGTACTGGAATCTTTATGTTGACAAGAGTGTGCTAGAATCATTATCTGCCATGTTTAATAGTATAATTTTACTATCTTAGTAGAATATGCTGAAATTAGTAGACGATCTAGTGGTATATCAATAAGAGAAAAGTAAATTCGAATTAAGGATTATTTTATAGTCTAAAAATTACAGTGATATCTCGATTCCAACTTATTTATAATAAAGTCATAATAATAATAATAATAATAATAATAATAATTATTATTATTATTATTATTATTATTATTATTATTATTATTATTATTGTTGTTGTTGTTTTAAATACATGTGCACTTTCTTCATTTTTTTCATGCCTTCTTGAGTGACTTTGAAGAGCCCCAACCCAAGATAAGGTAATATTATATCCTATGTATGAATATGGAGCATAGCTTACTATTGTGTTTCCTAAAAGAGTTTATTTTGTTTGAATAGGGATTGAGGTACTGTTTGTGCAGTAGAAATATGAAAATAGCCATATGTCATTTCTTTATTAGCATTAATGGGATTGTTACACAAATAGTCGACCAGATTCAATGTTTACTTTTTCTAGTCGGTATATATAAATTATATATTGATTATACACATTTATACATATAATATACATGTATTGTACATATATTATATATCCGCTGGCTATTTAGAGTTTAAGAGGTTAGATTGGTGGCTATTTGAGTTAATTCTTCTTAGTTTAGTTAATACAATTAAACAAAAAAATTGGCCCATTTACGTAGAGTAACATATTGATCATATGCATGGAAGGATGCTAAGTACACACTATTGGTGAAAGGGGTGTAGTAGATCATATCAGCTTATTTAAAAATTTGGAAAAAAAACAGCTTTTTACATTTTCATTCATCTAATAATTCAAACAGATGCTCTTGGAACATGTATACCGTTAAAGATTTACTATTTTGATATCAAATTTATAATAATTTACGATATATTTCACTAATTGCTTTTTTGATCATGTTTTTGGGAAATCAAAAGTGCTTATTTTGGATAAAGCTATAGCTTGTTGGTCGTGCTTCTTTTTGGTAATTTTTTTCCGGCCAAAAGCACTTTTTTTTCAAAGTTATATTGTTGGGTTAAGTTTTTAGAAGAAAAAAAAAGTTATTTTGAATAAAAACGGAAACAGTTTTTGAGAAACATAAAAAAATAGATTGTTTCAAAATGTACTTTTAAAAAAATTACTTTTAAGAAATATATTTAAAAGTACATTTTAAAAGTTTGGTCAAATACTAATTGCTGCTTAAAAGTATTTTTTAAATTAATTAGTCAAACACAAATTGCTTCTAGCTAGAAATACTTTTTTGAAAATCATTTTTAGGAAACATTTTTAGCACGGTCGAACAAAACAGGCTATTAGTTGGGGTGTTTGCCTAATAAATTATTTGCCAAGCTTTCAGAATTTAGTAATTTTGAAAAGTATTTTTAGTCAGAAGTATAGTAGCCGCTTATGTTTGGCTAAAATGAATTTGAAAAGCACCTTTGATCCACAATTAAAGTTTGGTAAAGGTTATACCAAAAAGAATGAATTAACGTAAGATCAATATGCGTTTTGAAGAAAAATGGGACGGAGGTAAATATAAGAACTACAAATATGGATATGGAAGGAAACGTATATTCATCTTAGCAAAATAGGCATTTGTCAAAATTGTAGGAATAGCTTTTTCTTTTCCTTTTTCCGGCCACCTTCAAGGGTTTCCCGTTGCCTTGGTGCGGACTGAAGTATTGGGGTTGTATTGTAGCCGATTCACGACCAATGAATTGCGGCACTAATCCAATGGATTCGCTCATTTGTCCCAAACCTCGTCGTCTTGGGGATCCCGTTAGCCATTCTAATTGCCTTCCCTTGAGGTAATTATTTCTTATCCTTGTTAAATCCCAATTTTTCAAGATTTTAATGACCCGTTAATGTTCATGATCCTCTCTTTAATGGTTTTTTTTTTTTTTTTTT